AAAGGAGAAAAATAACTTCATCAGCTCAATCGGACGCTCAGTCGGGAGAGCTTCAAAACCCGACTGCAGATGAGGTCCAAGCACTTTGGGGTGAGATAGATATAGTAGAGGATGCTGATTCTCGCTTTCCAACCCCCGTTTCTATCTATGTTCTAAAGAGCTCGGACCTCGGGCCTCTTCTGCCTTCGAACACTGAGCAACCAATAATCAACACTGCTCCATCCGCAGCTGCTTCTCAACCTTCACCGCCAACTACTTCATGCCCTTCAACACCAGTTATAGCTTCACCACCAGCACCCACTGCATCTCCTCCACCGGCAACAGGCCGTTCGAGAGAGGGTGCTTCTCCTCCCCGGTCTCCTGACCATGAGAATTTGGGGCACAATTACTCACCCCCTTCACCAGATCCCCTAGGGAGGAGGAGTGCTACTCTTTCGATTTCGAAGGAGTGCCATTTGTTGTCCAAGTTGGCTTCAGAGAAAGATAGGAAGAAAATACGCTCCCTTTCGGGGGAGTGCTTGTTGAATAATGTTATGCATAATGCGGCAGCGGTACCGTACTTGCTTTCTTATCACTTGTTTTCTATTTATCTGCTGTAATGGGATTTCTAATCTTCATATCCTTTTTTACATAGCAACTTTCTTTCTTCCGAGGGCCTGCAAAAATTGATCCTCGATAAGCAAGGACTTGCCTCCGAGCGGGATCAACTATTGGCCAAAAGATACTAACTTGTTGCATACCTCCCGGTAATGGAGGTAAAAGCTACTGAGGCAGGCGAGCTTAAGGCCCGATTGCAACAAAGTGAACAAGAAATAATGGCCCATAGCCAAGAAGCCATTCAATTACATACACAACTTCAAGAGGCTAAGGCTAAGTGGGCTGAGCTGCAAGATACTGTGCTTGCTGTTGCCGAGCGCGAGTCTGCCTTCGAGGAAAAAGTGAATAACTTCAAAGGCAACCTTGAGCTCCAAAACAGAGGAGGCCAATGCCACCGAGGAAAAGAGGGCCAAAATGGAAGAAAGATTTAAGAAGATCATGGAGCAAAATCAGATTCATCTATCTGCAACTCGTGATCTTGATTCTAGCCTTGGTGCCAGGAGATCCAAGCGGGATGGCCTTCAAGCCGAGGTTGACAGACTTAAGGCAAAGCTCCAGTACCGAGAGGATTCCCTCATGTTTGAAAAGACTTATGCTATGTACCATATGCAGATAAAAATCTTGGAAGAGGCCAAATCGGTCATCATCAATATCGATGATTAAATCGCCAAGGCCCGAGGACTGGAGCTAATTGCCCGAGAAAATCTTCCCGCTCATCCTACTGCAACCGACTCTTCGAGCACCAGTTCTGAATACTCAGGAACTGAAGGGGAGGTTGAAGAAGATGATGATGAAGGTCCAGGCCCCAAACCGCCAGCTGATCCGACTTCTTTCACCGGGGGGAGGGGGCAGATCCCTCTCTCCCTTCGGGCTCCGGCGGCGATAATGCTTAGATTTTTTCTTCCTTACCTTTTTTTTGTAATTTGTAATTATGCCAAACTTTTCACCGAGTTTGGCACTTTGATAAATAAAGAAGAATTTTGCTTCAGTGTTGTGCAAAATATATTCTCTTTGCATTGAATTAGTTAAAGCTTCGGGTATACTTTCGTCCGATAGCTTCTTATTCCAGGCATAAATTCTTCCGGAATCAACCCTTTACTATGAGGGTTTCATAAGAGAGGCCCCTCTTATATTTATAGTGCTCTTGAAGAGGACGTCTCGTGTCCATTCCGCCACAAGCATTTGAAGTTTTTTGTTAACTGTCAAATGATAAAATCAACTCATCATTTGGACAAGAAACAAGATAAAAATAAAAGGATTTTATTTTATTCCTTCTATCTTTAAAAGTACATAATCATTCATTTTCTAAAGGAAAAAAGAAACTGCCAATTCATGTGGCTAACTTGTATAACTTATTTCTACGGGGCTGGTCATGCAGTCCCCGATTTTTATGGCATTCTTGTTATCGTATCTTATACTACTACTCCCCTAGTATTCGAATACGAAGTATGCAAATTGGAACACTAGAAGTATTGCTTCATTGGTGGAAATAACTCATGAAACGTTAGATTGTCTTTGGTTCGATGGCAAGTTTTGTTTCCCATTAGGAACTTGCCATCGAGCCAAAGATTATTTAACTATCCCATAGCGGTTTATCATTTTATTGCCTTGTCATTTAAATGTCTTAACCTTGCCAGTGACGCTCCGTTCGTAGTATGCTTTCCGTTGCTGCCTCGTTAAAAACCTTGCCAGAGAAACCCGATTGGGACAAAAACTGGTCGAAGGAAAAAAGAGTGCAGCACATACTTTCAGTATTGACAGGATCCATCAGCAGTAATACCTTTTGAGGTGAGTCACATTCCAATTACTGGGCAATTTGACTCTATCTTGATTTTCTAACTCGTACGATCCTTTACCGGTGACAGCTGAAACCCGGTAAGAACCTTCCCAAGTTGAACCCAGCTTCCCATGGTTGATTTCCCGAGTGTTATCAATCGCTTATCTCAAAACCAAGTCTCCTACATTGAAGTAGCGGAGATTGGCCCTACGATTATAATACCTTTCCATTCTTTGCTTTTGGGCCACCATCCTTACGTATACCAAGTCCATGTGTTCATCGAGCAAATCCAGCTTCACCAACATTGCCTCATTGTTTGCTTCTTCGTTTTCTTGGGAAATCCGTAAAGTTGGCTCCCCTACTTCCACCGGTATCAGAGCTTCCATGCCATATATAAGGGAGGAAGGTATTTCTCCCGTGCTTGATTTTTCCATTGTCTGGCATGCCCATAGCACACTCGATAACTCTTTGAGCCATTTGCCTTTAACAGCTTGTAAACTCTTTATGAGGTTATGGATAATCACTTTATTGGTTGACTCCGCCTGTCCATTAGCGCTCGGATGGTATGGTGAGGATGTAATCCTCTTGATTTTCAAATCTTCCAAAACTTTTGTGACCTTTGAGCCTATGAACTGTGGTCCATTATTGCAGGAAATCTCCTTCAGTATTCCAAATCGGCAGATGATGTGGTCCCATAGGAAGTCGACCACTTCACGTACTAATCTTTTGGTAAGGACATGATTCGACCCATTTAGTGATATAATCAGTTAAAATTCAAAGGAATTATACCTTTTTGGGACCCGATAGCAGCGAGCCAACTATATCCATCCCCCATTTCATGAATGGCCATGGGGACAACACTGAATGAAAGAGTTCCACCGGTTGATGTACCAACTGTGCATAGCGTTGACATTTGTCGCAGTTCTAAACGCACGTCTTTGCATCCTGTTCCATCCGGGGCTAATAATATCCTACCCTAACCAGCTTTAGTACCAACGTATCTGCACCAGAATGGTTCCCACAAACTCCTTCATGAACTTCTCTCATCACGTAGTCAGGCTTCGAGGCTTAAAACATCGGGCCAACGAGCCTTGGTATGATCTCCTATATAATTGCCCATCTTTGAGGCAATAACGAGCCATTTTGGTGCGCGGTACCGGGATGCCTTCAGGTCTTCAGGAAATTTTCCATGTCGAAGATATTCGACGAACTCGTTTCTACAGTCCCAAACTAAGTTTGTTGAATTGACTTCACAATAACCATCCACATCTAATACTGAATGTAGAAGTTGGACGACGGTATCGGAGTTAGATCCTTTCATCTCCATTGATGATCCCAAATTAGCCAATGCATCTGCTTCAACGTTCTCTTCTCTCGGAATGTGTATGATCAACCATTCCCTAAACCATGCAAGCAACGCTTGAACCTTATTCACATACTATTGCGTGCGTTCTTCCTTTGTTTCAAAAATCCCATACACTTGGTTTAATACCAGCTGGGAATCACATTTGATCTCGATGATCTCGGAGTTAAGTCTCCGGGCCAGTTCAAGTCCTGCAACCAAAGCCTCATACTCGGCTTCATTGTTAGTTAATGGAACAATCTTAATGGCCTACCTCAGGTTTTCCCCCGAGGGCGTGTTTAGAACTACCCCAAGACCAGACCCTTTTAGATTAGAAGCTCCATTGGTAAACAGGGTCCAAACTCCTGACGTTGTTTCCGACACCAACACTACTTAGTAGCCAAGGGCATTAATCCGGGACTGAAATAGGCCACAAAGTCGGCCAAAACTTGTGACTTGATCGCAGTCCTAGGTTTGTACTCAATGTCAGATTCACTAATTTTGACTGTCCATTTAGCCAAATGGCATGACAACTCAGGTTTGTGAACAACATTCCTCAAGGGAAAGGTTGTCACCACGAGAGGTGACTACGAGAGCTAAGGCCAATTTTTTGAGGTATGGATAACTAATCCCCGCTCCCGATAAGATTTTACTAACGTAATAAACATGAAATTGTATACCTTCTACTTCTCGGACCAAAACAGCAGTTACCGCTACTTTCGAGACTGCTAGATATATCAGTAATTGTTCACCTTCCCTCGATTTTGTCTGATGACCCGATAGGTCATCTTTAAATTTAACATTTAATTCTGTGCTCCGAGACCTTGAATAACACCATTTAGAATTCCTTGGCTTGCATGCACAGTCCATAAATTTCTCCGGAAAATTTTTATGTGAAAAATTGATTAAAATGTGAAATGGAGCTTCAAAACTCATTTGAGTTGACTTCGTTCAATATTTTGAGCAAACGGACCCGGATCAATATTTAGACAGTTCCGGTAGGTCCGTATCGTGATTTGGGACTTGGGCGTATGCCTGAAATCGAATTCGGAGGTTTCTAGCTCGAATTATCGCCATTTAACGGAAACTAGAAATTTAAATGCCAAAGATTTCCAAAATTTGACCGTGAATTTGACTTTACCGATATCGGACTCGGATTGAGATTTTGAGAGTTGGAATAGCTCTGTTATGTCATTTATGACATGTGCACCAAATTTGAAATCATTCAGGATTCATTTAATACGTTTCGGCACGAGTTTTGTAAAGTTAAAATTTCATAAACTCATAAATCTGAATCAATGTGTGAATTGTAGTTTCGACGTTGTTTGACGTGAAATGAGACCCCGAGTAAGTCCGTATTATGTTACGGGACTTGTTGGAATATTCGGACGAGGTCCCGAGTGGCTCAGGTGAGTTTCAGGCGAGTTTCAGACCATTTTTGAAAAGATTTGCAGGTCTGGTTCTGATGTTTCGCACCTGCGACTTTTGGAGCGCAAGTGCGGCCCCACTTCTGTGACCTAAGCACTGGAATGATGCTCCACTTCTGCGGAGTAATGTTGTGCAGATGCACAATCGCTTATGCGAAGGGAGGACCGTTTTTGCGGTTAGCTCGTCGCTTCTGCGATGTCACAGGTGCGACACTCTTTGCGCATGTGTGGCCACTGGCCTGGAATCGTAAATGCGAGCCTTGTCTTGCAAATGCGAGTCCGCAGATGTGGAACTTGTGTCCGCAGATGCAAAAATGCTGGACAGAATACATAAAATCGAGTGTTAGCCATTTTTACTCATTTTTGAGTTTTAAGTCTCGGATTTGGGCGATTCCAAAGGGATTTTTTATGACTTCGACTTGGATAAGTATTCTATATCTGAAAGTGATTATATTTCATAAATCCATGCTTATATTCATCGTTTATTTCGGATTTAGATGGAAGAAATTGTAATTTTTATAAAACTATCCAAAAACAAAAATTTAGGATTTGAAGGATAATCCGATGTCGGAATTCGATAATTTTAGTATGGTTGAATTCATATCAGAACGGGTGTCTGGATTCTGTGATTTTTTGTTGGGTTCCGAAAAGTGGGCCTCACGTTGACTTTTGGTTGACTTTTCTGAAAATGACTTAAATTAAGTCTTTTTCGAATTATGAATAATTTCCAAAGCTCCAATTGAATTATTGGCCAATAATTTGATAGGTTTGATTGGTTTGGAGACTAACTCGAAAAGAAAAGCTGTGGTCGAGTGATCACTTGAAATTGCGAAATGAAGTAAGTGTCGTGGTTAACCTTGACTTGAGAAAATAGAACTCTTGAATTATTTGTTAGGTGAATTTCATATGTAACGACGTATAGGCGAGGTGACGAGTGCCTATACGTCATCAAATGGGTTCTTTGCATATTTATCTGAAAATCATAAATTATTTTTAATCATGAATTAATTATTATATTAATTATTTATCTCATATTCCTTGTCCAATATTATGTCTTGAATTCATGCTATAATTGCTACATGCTTATTTGAGTTATGTGTCTTAATTGCTACTTGACATTTAGTATATTAAATATTAAATTGCATATTTTCTCCCTGATTTCCACTATTAATTGCTACTTGTCATTACTTGTTTCCTAAATAAATAATAATTATTGTATGCTTTGTTGCCTAATGATTTCTTATTATATGTGGTACTTATTGGAGTAGTTTTACATTTAAGTGTTGTTAAATTATATTATTGGAGCGGGTTGCACGCCGCAACAGATTATATTTTGAGTTTATATCGTTGGAGCGGGTTGCACGCCGCAACAGAATTTAATTGGAGGATTATATTATTGGATCGGGTTGCACGCCGCAACGGATTTTATTTTAAGTTTATATTGTTAGAGCGGGTTGCACGCCGCAACAAAAATTAATTGGAGGATTATATTGTGGGAACGGGTTACACGCCGCAACGGAATGATAAAAGAGACAATTGGCTATGATTGCTGAATTGATTCAGTTATTGATATGATTTAACTGTCTTACCTATATTCCCGTTATTATTATTATTATTATTATTATTATTATTATTATTATTATTATTATTATTATTGCGTACATGTTAATGTAAGCGACCTGCCTTAGCCTCGTCACTACTTTGTCGAGGTTAGGTTCGACACTTACAGAGTACATGGGGTCGGTTGTACTCATACTACACTCTGCACTTCTTGTGCAGATACCGGAGTTGGTCCAGGTGGCGTACTGTAAGATTTGCTCGAATTCAGCTATCAGAGGAGACTTGAGATATAGTTGCACGTCGTTCGCAGCTCTGAAGTCCCCTTTTACTTTATATTGGTTGTGTGCTTTTTTCAGACAACTTTATTTTATTCAGACCCTTGTTTGTATTATTCTAGAAGCTCGTTCACTTGTGACTCCTGTTCTGGGATGGTATTTAGACATCTTTATTGTTTTGGTTTGTTCACGTTAATTCAGACATTATTCTGGTTGTTTGGTCTCTTCACTATTTAATTAAAATGAATTGTTAAAAATGGTTTAAATTATTCTAACGTTAGCTTGCCTAGCAAGTGAAATGTTAGGCGCCATCACGGTCCCGAAGGTGAGAATTTCGGGTCGTGATAAGTTGGTATTAGAGCACTAGGTTACTTAGGTCTTACGAGTCACGAGCAAGCTTTGTAGAGTCTGAAGCATAGGTACGGAGACGTCTGTACTTATCTTCCAGAGGCTATGAAGTTTAGGAAAAATATCACTTCTTTCTTATTCTGTCGTGTGATTTTATTCTATCATCGATGATTGAACCATTCTATTCTTGTTCTCTCGCAGATGGCGAGAACACGTACCATATCTACCGCCGAACAGGAGCCAAAGCCCCTGATGGCAACTGTGACCAGGGATAGAGGCCGAGGTCGAGGTCGCGTCAGAGGCCGAGGTAGAGGTAGAGGTAGAGCCCAGCCTCGAGCTCAAGCAGCAGCACCTGTTGTAGAACCTCAGGTGAATTTGGAAGCGGAGGTCCTAGCTCAGTATGTACATGTTGGACCAGTTCAGGTCCCGGAAGGATTCATAGCTACTCCAGTACTTCAGGACGCTTTAGTCCGTTTGGTGAGCCTTGTGGAGGGTGTGGCCTAGAATGGCACATTTCCAGTGGCACCAACCGTCTCACAAGATAGGGGAGGAGCACAAACTCTCACTACTCCCGCTCCGAAGAAGATAGCTCCCCAGTATCAGGCTCTAGTAGTTCCACTAGTTAGGATAGTTCAGCCAGTTGTTGCGGCAAAGGCTGGTGATAGGCCCGCCATGTCTTCTGAGGCCTTATTGATATTGGGCAAGTTTACTAAGCTCTTTCCAGTTCACTTTAGTGGTACACCTTCTAAGGACCCACAAGATTATCTTGACCGCTGCTATGAGGTGTTGCGGAACATGGGAATAGTTGAAGGCAACGAGGTCGATTTTGCTGTGTTTCAGATGACTGGTTCCGCCAAGAGGTGGTGGAGAGATTATGTACTTGCTAGACCAGCGAATTCACCTGCACTTACCTGGGAGCAGTTCTCACAGTTATTTCTGGAGAAGTTTGTTCCTATTATAT